TCATTCTGCTTTGACTCTCTATTTGTTTTAGTATTTTAATCATGTCACTTTATTGCCTTCTGCTTCGCCTAGTTTCTGACCATAAGTCAGCTCTAATTCTTGCCTTTCATCCTCAGTCAGTGTATGATATATAAATATTTTTTAATGGCTTCCTACAGATTTCACTCCCTTTGGCTTTAAGCAGTTTGAATATAAGATGTCTAATAGTTTGGATATAATATGTCTTGCTTTGTTTTTAATATTTCTTCTGCTTGGATCTGTTTGCATACAATTTACGCTCTCCCAGAAGTACACTGCTATTTCTTGGTACTTTGTGCTTGTTAGCATGGTTTTGGGGTGGCAGGACACAGGGAAACACGGGCAGATCTCTGTTTTCATGATCCAGATTCAGTGTTAGGCAGGCACTGTATGTCTTTGTCTTAGAAGTTCTGCTTGCCCTTACTGTACCTCCTTCCTGGAGCAAATTCTGTCTTATTTCTTTGGTATTTTTGAGGAGAAAATGTCCTGCACTCCTCCGAAGTGAGGGAACTGCCAATGGTATTGGTATAGCTTCTGGATTCAGAATTGCCCCACCCCCAATGGTAGGGTTATTTTTCTTTTGCTATTAGCTATCACAGAGTGGTTTTTACCTATGCCCTGGGGCCACAGGGTTTGCTACCCCTTACCAGGCATTCTAGAGCTGTTGTACAGTAGAGAAGGGTCTAAGTGGAGTTCTGTGCCTTTCCTATCCTAGCAGCAGTCCCCTCCTCCATAGTTACCCACCGAATGAGGCTCTCTCCAGTCTACCATTCTGTTCTAAATCTTATTCATGAGGACTTGATGGAGATTCATGGAGAAGAGCCCTCGAGTGAGTGCAAACTCCCTTGTGTCTATAGCTCCCAGTGATTCTGCACTCTCATTGTGGCTCATGCTCAACCTTGAGAAGTTCATTAAAATTCTGGTGTGAATATTTCTTACTTGCTAGTAGGACACTCTGTCTTATCTTCTCATGCTCTGCAATAATTTAGCCAGTGCTTGCAAACCATTTCCATTGGGTAGCAGTGGGAGTTGGTTCTTCAATTTCAGGCTATGTTGTTGCCTTGTGACCTTTGCAATCTGGGTTTAAGAAAGTTTAAACTTTCGTAGTCTGTATGGTTTTTCTTTTCTTTTTTTTTTTTTTAAAGATTGGCACCTAGGCTAGCAACTGTTGCCAATCTTTTTTTTTTTTCTGCTTTATCTCCCCAAACGCCCCCTGTACACAGTTGTATATTTTAGTTGCAAGTCCTTCTAGTTGTGGGATGTGGGACGCCGCCTCAACGTGGCCTGACGAGCGGTGCCATGTCTGCGCCCAGGATCCGAACCTTGGGCCGCCACAGCAGAGCACGCGAACTTAACCACTCGGCCATGGAGCTGGCCCCTGTATGATTTTTCTTGTTGTTAGGTTGAGAGTTAGGATTTTAACAGATTTCTGAATCTTTAATGGCAGCAGAACTCCTGCATCAGGCTCTAAACAACAAAAACAAAAGCTAAGAAGGTGTATCTAATATACAATTACAGTTGAGAACTCCAGAAACTTGAGTACCATGCATGGCCTCTAATGCTGTGTTGTTCAACCCTGGGTGCGGATAGGATTCACTAGGGGACATTGTCTAAAAATACTGATGCTCAAGTCCCAACCTCCAGAGATTCTTAATTAATGGTCTGAGCAGAGCCCCAGGCATGGGTGTTTACTAAAATCTACCTAGGTCATTCTAATGCAGAGCCAAGATTAAGATGACTGCTCTAATCATCCTAAATGGTCCTGTAAGTATGTGAATCAACAAATTTCAGCAAATGTACCATGATATTCTTAAATCTATTATAATTGAAAAATTATTTGAAGATATTGGCTTTTTAATTCTACTTCCTTGCATGAAACCAACCAAGGTCATATTTTTCACACTTGTAGATACATATTCTACCTGAGGTCATATCCAAACTGTAGTCACAGATTGTGTGAATCATTACAGTGATTTGATTTTGTGAGCTAAGGAGAGAAGTGTCTTTTCTAAAGAGTTAAATGAGCCCCCTTGGGCTCTTCTTTTGTCCTGGTTGGATAGGATATGGGCTGAGTTTCCTTTGAATGGTCTGCACAGAACATTAGAAATATGGAGGGAGGCAGAAACAACAAGGACATACGTCTCCTCTATATGATCTGTTTTTCCATGACCCAATTCAATAAATGTGACCATATGTCATCAGATACATCATATAGTATATAGCTGGCACACACCTGCAACTCAGAAAATAGTCTTAAATAAATAAATCAAATGGTTACCAGGCAAGTTTCATGCACATGAGCTATCCTCTGAGGTTTTGATTTACAAAAGAACATTTTTAATAAAATGTTCTTAATTATTAGGCAATCTAATTATATATGAATTTATGGGTGAACAAAAACATTGAAATTTTCAAACTATGGAGAATTTGAGATAGAGAAAACTTGAAGTATAGAATTTGTGATATAGAAAATTAAAGGAGCAAAATATTACATTATAAATATAAATAGAAGCATCAAATTAATAAAAAAGCATAGGTACAAGTGTGATTGCAAGATATTCCAGGATTTATACTCATAAAGAAAACAAGTTAAGAAATATCAACTCTGAATTTTATAGACGTAGCTTTAATATTTCTACTTTTCTGTTATAACCCATGTAACGGTGATGAGGCTCCCTGAGGCCTAGTTATGGGTTGTTTCAAAAAGTAGCTTTAAAACCAGTCTCCAACCGAGGACTATGCCAAAGAATATTAAAGATTGGACAGAAAGGAGAGGAAATTGGTAGATTTTAACCTTTGAATCATTTTTAGCAAAGCCCAAGCCTCTGAGTACTTCATACACACTATTTTATTTCTGCAAAAGGAGTAAGTCTAAGATGTTAATTTGTCATAAGATTTGTGACCGCCAAAAGGTAGACTTCCTACCCATTTTCACCTCAGAAAACTCAAAAATTTCAAGCAATGCACTCTCTTTATCTTTCTCTCTATCTATATTGTACAAATTTAATTTTCTTTTAAAGATTTTTGCTTGAAATAGTTTTGCCGTGCTTTCTAAAGGCAAATAATTGAGTTCATCATATTCTTCTGACAATTCACCTCAGAACTTAGAAAAAACATTTTCACTCAACTGCAAACATATTATGAAAAATAATATGATTTTAAAGTGTAGATGGATTCCGTGCCTTGAAGAACCACTGATGTTAAGCACATTTTAATTTTTTCTGTTAAATTCCTAATTTAGCAGTGGATAAGACCCTAAGATGTAATTATTGAATGTTTATGACAGTATATTCATGTTGCCTTTACAAAACTTTTTTTTTATTGAGTTATTGATAGGTTACAATCTTGTGAAGTTTCAATTGTACATTAGTGTTTGTCAGTCATGTTGTAGGTGCACCACTTCACCCTTTGTGCCCACCCCCCACCCCACCTTTCCCCTGGTATCCACTAAACTGTTCTTGGTCCATAGTTTTAAATTCCTCATATGAGTGGAGTCATACACAGATTATCTTTCTCTTGCTGGCTTATTTCACTTAACATAATTCTCTCAAGGTCCATCCATGTTATTGCAAATGGAATGATTTTGTTCTGTTTTGCAGCTGAGTACTATTCCATTGTATATATGTACCACATATTCTTTATCCATTCGTCTGTTGATGGACACTTAGGTTGCTTCCACGTCTTGGCTATTGTAAACAGTGCTGCAATAAACATTGGGGTGCACAGGACTTTTGGGATTGCTGACTTCAAGCTCTTTGGATAAATACCCAGTAGTGGGATGGCTGGATCGTATGGTAGTTCTATTTTTAGTTTTTTGAGGAATCTCCATACTGTTTGCCATAGTGGCTGCACCAGTTTGCATTCCCACCAGCAGTGTATGAGGGGTCCTTTTTCTCCGCAACCTCTCCAACATTTGTTGCTATTAGTTTTAGATATTTTTGTCATTCTAACGGGTGTAAGGTGATATCTTAGTGTAGTTTTGATTTGCATTTCCCTGATGATCAGCGATGATGAGCATTTTTCATGTGCCTATTGGCCATCAGTATATCTTCTTTGGAGAAATGTCTGTTCATGTCTCCAGCCCATTTTTTGATTGGGTTGTTTGATGTTTTGTGGTTAAGTTGCGAGAGTTCTTTATATATTATGGATATTAAGCCTTTCAGATATATGACTTGCAAATATTTTTCCCAGTTAGTGGGTTGTTATTTTGTTTCAATCCTGTTTTCATTTGCCTTGAAGAAGCTCTTTAATCTGATGAAGTCCCATTTGTTTATTCTTTCTTTTGTTTCCCTTGCTGTTTGCTTGAAGTATTGTCCTCCACCCCTTTACCCTGAGTCTGTGTTTGTCCTTGGGGCTGAGGTGTGTTTCCTGGAGGCAACAAATTGTTGGATCTTGTTCTTTAATCCATTTTGCCACTCTGTGTCTTTTTATTGGAGAGTTCAGTCCGTTCACATTGATGGGGTGAGAGGTTAGATGAAAGCAGCCATGTAAGATCCTCTTGTGGCTGCACAGTTAGGCTTGGTTGCCTGGGGAAGGAAGACGGACTTTGTTCTAAAGATGCAAGAGAAAATCATGAGACTCATAAGAGGCCAGTCCAGCCAAACAGGGCACTATTTGGAATCAATCTCTGAAGCAACTCTCTGGATTTGCTCTGTGGAGAGCACACCGTTCATGAATGACATGGAAAGATATGTATCAAGTAGAAGTTAAGGGTTCACATTCTGTTCCTAGACAGAAATGCTAATGTTATATAAGCAATTCTTCCTCTTTAATAGTAAATCTTAAAGAAATAAGTAGAGTAGATGACTCGGGAAATGTGTTAGGGATGAGTAAAGACAAAGGTCAGATCTGAAGTCTACTGGGTAATGATAGCTACTATCCCATTTATAAGCAGAGTAGATTTGACACGTCTGTCTGCCTGAGTGTTTTCTCCCATTCATGTTTTACCACTCAATATGTGCCCTGCCAAACTTGCATTTTAGATAAAAGAAGTTGACCTGGAAGATAATGAGGATCATTCCATGGTGATGTTGTAACATCGCTTTGCTAGAGTTTCTTTGAAAACTCTGAACGAAGGAATACTCTGAAGGAAAGCAAAAGGTATATGAAAAGTAAATTTTGAATCGAGTATTTAAAGTGCCAGCTTACTAAACATAAAAAAGAAATCAGAAAATAAATTTCCATTTTTGGCAGGGCTAAATTATTAGCTTGCATTATAAAAAAGTCAAAATACCTAACTTTAGAAACATTTGTTTGTGTAATGTTCTATACTTTAATATAGATTCGAGTGCTTATAGATTTATTTCAATGCTTGTTTAATTAAATGTCTTTTTCCTTTCTTCATACTATACTGTAAGCTCCATGAGGGCACCCAGCAGGGTTCCTGTGACATAGTTGGCTCTCAGTAATTATTCCCTGAATGAATGAATGATGAATGAGTTTCTTCCTGTATTCACAAGTTGACAAATGTTCGCTATAAAGGACCAGATAATAAATGTTTTAAGCTTTGTGGATCACATAAATTCTCTATCTGGATATTACTCTTTGTTTATAAATTAAAATATAAAAATGTTAAAACCATTCTTAGCCTGCGGGCTGTGTCAAAAAATGCCATGGATGAGATTTAGCCCACAAGACTTGATTTGCAGACCTCTGCTCTATGTTTTCAATGGATCTTAATTTGCATTCTAAGATCTCTGGTTTTCTGAGTTCCCTTTCAGTTGTACATCAGAGCTGGTCCTTGCCAGCTCAATACATGAAACTGGCAAGCACAGCATGTAAGGCCTCTGTTTGTGTATGCACATGTATGTGTGTGTGTCTTTGTGTGTGTATGTTTGATGAGCCTTTTTATCAGCATACTGTTTAAGTTAAAAAACAAAGCAAGGGGCCAGCCCGGTGGCATAGTTGTTAAGTTCACATGCTCTGCTTTGGTGGCCTGAGATTCACAGGTTTGGATCCTGGGCGCAGACCTACACACCACTCATCAAGCCACGCTGTGGCAGCATCCCCCATATAAAATAGAGAAAGATTGGCATGGATGTTAGCTCAGGGACAATCTTCCTAAGCAAAAAGAGGAAGATTGGCAACAGTTGTCAGCTCAGGGCCAATCTTCCTCACCAAAAATAAGTAAAAATAAAGGCAGGGATTGTATTTAGGGTTGTCAGATTAAATTCAGGTGTCCCAGCTAAATATGAAGTCCAGTTAAAAACTGAATATTTTAAAGCATGAGCATGTCCCATGTAATGTTTGAGACATACTTGTACAGAAAATTATTTTTTGTTTATCTTAAATTCAAAGTTAACTGAGAACTTTGTGTTTTTATTTTCTAAATCTGGCAAATCTTGGGGAATTAATTGGAAATCCTGTGAAGAACAGTGAAAAACAAGTATGTTGGTCCTATACAAAAATGACCATTACAAAATAGAAACTATTTTGTCTACCTTTTCATCATAGCCTGTGTTATTTTTCCTTGTTATTAAAGTAATAGCTATTTCATTTTAAAAAAGTATATTAAAGATAATCTCTGCCATTCTATGGCTATACCATTCATGCTGTTCATTTAGTCTACGTTTTCCTTACTCTTATAGTAATAATTGAGGACTAACTATGTGCCAGGCACTATATATATGCTTTATGAAAATTTTCCTCATTTAATATGCACAAAATTCCCTGTTATATAGACGAGAAGACTAAATATCAGAGAGTTAAAAACAAAACATCAGTAAAAGTTTAAGGAAAAAAAATTTCAAAGACCATGTAATTAGCAAGTGATGGAATTACCTATTCTTCTCAAGCTTTTTATGTTTAAATTATTTTTAGAGTGAGTCCAACTGCCAGCTGTGAAACAAAGCTTTCTATTACTCTTCTTTGCCCATCAAGAATCATTTTGCACTTTGGAGCATTCCTAGACTTTTGTCTTTATATTCTTTTCTCTCTGATGATGCTCACCAATTTACGTAGTTTTAAAGAGAACAATAGTGTCTTATTTATATGTATATTCCCAACAGTATTTAGCACAATCTATTATATTTATATGGGTTTAAAAGTATGTTTGATGAATAATTTAATAACATTGAATAAGTACTAGTTATAGATTAATAATGGTGTGATTGCCTAGTGTATGTGTTGAATGAATGCATAGGGTGTGACTCTTTTATATTAAAATCTTCTGTTGTGAAACTAAATTTACAGCAAAATACTGAAAACTTCAAAGTGAGTGACTTTTATGAGCTGCCAAACAGGGACCTAGGCACTAAAAAATTGGAGGAATGACCAGAGTAAAATAGTCCTGTCTCCTATAGTGTATATTTTTCTGGGGAAGACAGACAGACATAGTATTTCAAATGGTGGTAAATGCAATGAAGAAATATAAAACAAGATGAGTCGATAAAAATTTATTGTTGAGGATGTGATATTTTTTATGAGAAATTTTTTAAAAGGCGACACTGATAAGGTGATATGTGAGCAAAGATTTGGAGAAAATAAGAAAGCAGCCATTCAGCTATTTAGGAAAATAGCATTCCAGGCAGAAGAAACATCTAGTGCAAAACCCCTGAGCAGATGTGTACTTGGGTATTCAGGGGAGACTCATGATACTAATGACATATATGCAGCAAGGTGACATCAATCCTCTACTCAAAACCGTTGCTCTACTGCTGTTGTCTGGAGAACATTCATTAGAAGGGCAAAAGTGGAAGCACAAAAAATTGCTCGGAAGCTATTGTTAAGTCCAGGCAAGCGATGATGGTGCCTTGGACTGTGGGCAGAGCAGTGGAGGTAGGGAGCAGAAGTTGGAGTCTAGATATATTTCAGAAGAATTGTCAACATAATTTGCAGATGGCTTGGATGTGGAGTATTAGGGAAAGGGAAGTCAAGAAGACCAAGTCAATTAGTGTAAGTATCCAGAAAAATGTGGTTACTATTCAGTGATGATGGGAAGACTGAGGAAGAAGTAAGTTTAGAGGTGGACAAATTTGGACTTACTAAACTTGAAGTACTAATTAGTAGCCTAGGTGAAAATTTCCTTGCAGAGAATAGAAGGTTAGAACTCATTTATTTATGACTCTCTTACAAAGTTGAGAAGTCAATTGGGTAAAGGAATACATAGTTTAGAGTAGAGATTGAAGCTAGAAGTATAAAGTTGTTACTCACTGATTACAAGTGATACTCAAAGTCATGGAGCAAGAGGAGGTCATCTGAGGAATGAGTATAGCAAAGTATATAGAAGGACCAAAGGCTAGGATGCTTTAATTTTACAATTCGTGAATTCAAGTGTAATCAAGCAAAGGAGAATAAGGAGGAGTTACTAGTAAGTTAGGAAAAGAATCAAGAATGTGGTAACCCAGAAACTAGTTAATAAAGAGCTTCAAAGGAGAGAGGGAACAGGATCAACACTGTCAAATTCTGCTATTAGGATGAGTAATATTAGAATAGAGTAGTGATTATTTGATTTGGAAACATGGAGATGGCCTAGCACTTTTTTTTATTGGATCATGGGGATTTTCATTAAAAAGGGAGAAAGGTCAAATAGTCAAAGAGCACATCAACTAGTCCCCCTCGTTCACTGGGAGATAACTCAGGGAGACAGAAGTAGCAGGTACTTGGGTCTCATGATGCACTTTCATTCTAAGGTAAACTCCAAGTATCTAGCAGGAATGGACATCAGATTTCAAGTGAGGGAGCCTGACTCTTGGCTTTGGGAATTTTATGCAGCGTTAAGGAAGCACTAGCTCTTCTCCTGATATGAACAAGGGCAGGACACAGCAAGAATACATACATTTTGACAGAACCTTGGCTTCAGCCCAATCCTGCTTACTCAGCGTTAATGGTTGGGAGGAGCACCAGCCCTTTCCCTGGGGTGATCAGTGGGCTAGCATCCATGTCTTGAGCTCGAAGCTGTGTAATGTAAAAAGCCAGCAGCAAGATTCCCCACATCAGGATGTGCAGTTGGAAAACCATCAGACCCTCCTCTGGCATGATCAGGTGAGCTGAATCTCAGCTTTGAGGATGTCCAGGACTGAATACCTTATTCGTGGGCCTCTCTCCAGTTTCCATTGAGTTTTGCAGAAAGCGTACCCCTATTCTGGGTGACAGTCTGCAGGAGATCAGTCTGGGATGGGTCATCTCTTCTCTGTCAAAATGGAACAAAAACAAATTGGAACAGATTCAAGAGAGAAGAGGAGGACAGGAAGTGGAGTAAAGAGTTTAGATAGCACTTAACAATGTAAACAGAAAATTATCATGTGGGAAAAAAGAAATTTGGTGGAAAGATCATGGATTTGAACAGCATCCACTATTATTAAAATCTTAGACCTGTTAATGGAACGCAAGCATAAAACTAAGTCTCTTTGATTCTCCGTTTCTTCAGATTTTCTCTGCCCAGGCTTGCATTGTGCTATAAGAGTTTATAATTGTATTCTAGTTCAAAATCTAGTTAATATTATAGTTAATAATATATAATAATGTCTCTATGACTCCTATATTTTATTTTTCCTGAAGATCCCTAAATGGTACTGATAAATTAATTACTATTTAAATAGTAATAATAAAAAACAAAATAGACCTATATAATTTTTCAAGAAAAAAATAATAATTTAGCCACATGTATAAGACAAAGACTGGAAAGTACAACCATATTTTAAAACCTAGAAAATGTATTCCTTTAAAGAATTCTTATTATAAATACTAATTATATTTTAAAAGACAATAATTATTGGGCAAAATAATTTATAAATTTAACTGTGAAAATTAGTTAGACCACAATATGTCATCTTTATTTAAAACACTGTAAAGCAAGAGAGAAATAGAGTTTAAAAAAGAACAAACATATGTAAGACCTACTTATACTAGGCCCTGTTGGATTAATTTAATCAAGCAACTAGTCCGGGACATGTTTATAATTAAATTGACCTAGCTTTGTCATTGTACGACCCTGTCTTTGTGATGTTGAAAAGAAACAAGACTCTTTGATTAATTGCCAGTGTAAAAATCATAAATGCTTTCACCTATTTATTTTTTGCTCCATTGTTTCCTCATGGTTTTCCTCCTGCTCAATGACTCCTCGGCCTTCTAGTGTCATTTTTGTAGACACTACATTGAAT